TATAATCCTAGCTTTGCGCAATTCTATCACGATTTGTTGTGGCTCTACAACCTCATCTTTTTGACTATATTGAGTTGTTGGGGGTGTTCATCGAATGATGATGTTCATCGAACGCACGGGCATTGTAGATCGTGTCCTTTGATGCATCTTCACAACGGTCGAGGATATCGCACTCTTAGAACCGTTCTATTCTGCTGAGGTGGCGTTACAGCCTTGTGAGGCTTTGGGCTTGTGCACCCTCTCAACAGGGGTTCAAGAGGTCCTCCGGGCAACCGGTGAATGCTGTAGTACTGTGCTGTGCTTTGTACAATACGTGTCATCGCTTGTATGGCTGCAGCAGGACATACTAGCTGATGCTCAAGAGAAAGATGAATCTGGAATATCCTCCCTTCAGGGTTTCTGTCGTTGATACTTTTCACGACAGGTAGGATGTTGCGCGACTGAAAGCGGGGGACATTGCTGGTAAGCGACTAACGGCAGCGCCCGAGAACCCACCAAGTAGACACGATCCGCCATGCTCTGCATACCTATAACCACCACTACTTTCCTAGAGCTTTTCGGAATGATGCAGCGAAAGGTATCACCCGATTCAAAACATGAAAGCCATACACTAACTCCGCCGCCGTTGGTGCTCGTCCGCTAGCGATGCGACGTCCTTGCATTACGACTCCTCCACGGTACTTACCAAAGACCTACACACATTATTATTTCGGCAACCTAATTCACCGCCTCAAGAGCCTTCCTGAATCTTCTTCGGCTCCCCTTAAGATTCGCGCCCCTCACGAACGCCTAGTTGGCAGGCGGGCGTAATAGCGCATAATAGCGGAGGTGGACACAACAATGGCGAGAGGCATAACAATGGCGAGAGGCATCTCACGGCACGCGCAAACAGTTTCTTCGACGTGAAGCGCGTCACAAGGAAACTGGACGACGCTAAGAGATAAGGAGGAAACTACTATACATTCCCATGAGCATATGGGTCGCGATGGACGTGTTACAAAGCACAGTCGGTTCATGTTCGCGTGCAATGGCGATGACAAAATCTCAGACCGTGGTGCACCAAACATTCCATCGTTTCAGATCAGAAGACACAATGGCACTTCTAGCTCGAGACGGGCTAGAGAAGTTGTCATCTACTAGAAAACCTTCATAGAATCCAAGTTTACGACAGTGCTATGGTAGGAAAAAACAGCCCCAACTCACGTGTGCATCGCAAATTTGCACCACTAAGTACACAAAACCCGGATTGAACTGGCGTGTGCACAATCTTACAGCGCCGGGCTGCAGGAATTCCTTACATGTGCACGGTGGCGTTACGCAGGAACAATATGGTGTGAGGCAAATGCTAAAGCGGGTGAGTGGGTTTCAGATACCGGGAAATGACAGACGAAGACAGGGTTCAGTACTACGGTCGCGCGCCTCCCTGATGGCTTCTTATGCGTATGTTCCGGTCTCGACACACTATGCCAGGATCCCGCCATACGCATAAGCAAGTGATCAGCGAGGCGCGCTACGATAATACATAGATGTATGCATCACACTGCACGAATCCGCCTCACGCAATGCCACTAGCCTTCTCTTCCGTAATCTTGTTCTTGGAGGCATAGTTGTGGTGCGTATGGAAGGCAGGAGTCGTGCGCCCCCTCGTCATGTATCTAGCGAGCTGTTGATCTGTGTCACTTACACGTGGCGTTAGCAGCTGAGAAGTGCTCCGCAGGTGCACCCTAGCCTTGTGCTGGTGTCGGTTTTTTCCTGTCAACCCGGTGGGTGGGGCGAAATGACAGACACGGACAAGGGTATAGCGCCAAGCCAATACTGCTTGCAGCAACCGTAGCATAAGTCGCGCAACACCGGGAAATGCGGGGTTCGACCGATTCAACCGTAGAAGCACCTACCTGAAATGCCGCGATTGCCAGATAGAGCATCAGCAGAAGAAGCTCGTCTTGCAGCTGGGTTCTCAGATCCCGAATGGAGACGTTTTATTGTAAGGCACCCTTACTCTCGAGAAGGGATTAAGTCTTAACAGCCGCACACCTACAGGACATAACAAAAGAGATTGCACGTGAGCTTCGAGAAGTAGATTCCGCTCTTACCTGGCGCCAGGTGCCTTTCAACGAGAAACGCCGCATCACGGAACGCATCAATGCCCGGTTGACGGAAGAAGATATCCCGGCCATAGAGATTGAGCTGGTTGGATGGCGTATGAGTAGAGTGATCGGCAATTTAAGGCACGCTGAAGGTATGTGTGCTGCTTTGACCTCCTCATATGCAGGTTGTCTGGGTTGTTGACAGTGTGTAGCCAAATCCACGAAACTGTTGGGTGCGCCATCTGCACCTGATGTTGCCACCAGCAGCGCGGACACGAATCAAGGCACAAAGCCGGCTACCACGTCCTCATCTGCATCCACTACACGGACATTCGATCCCATTCGTGATATATGAGAGGAATGGGTGTATACCCCATGCACAGAAGCAAAATTCGTAGCTTCAATTCCTCGTCCACTAATGGAGATCGTGGGGCACATGGCACGACTATTGTCAAGTTTACGTAGACGTCACACAGTATCTTAAGCTTGTGGAAAAGGAGACTGAGGCGGAAATCGGAACAATTGTAAACGTCTTATCACTGAATCTCTGATCGCTGTAACATGTATGCATGGATCATTCTGAGTGCAATAATGCTTTTGTGATGCACCAGACACATGGAAATAGAGGGTTGCGTAGGCCAATTTGCTCCCATTGGAACGCGCGTCGGGAACCAATAATGAAGGCTTCTACTGTGGGGTGAGAGCAGCCGCAGTGCTAGGATGCAGGCGAACCAAAGCCCCCCGCTCTCTGACCCAGGCTCGCCGATCGCACACAAACCTGAAGACCCAGAGACCTGAACCGACGTCAGGTCCGCCTTCACCCCCGCCCTAGCTATGTTACCATTTGATCTTAAGAAGAACGCTAAGACGCGCGAAGCACAAGCACACGCTGGATTGAGTAAGCCACAATGGGTCAAATTTTACGTAGGGCATCTGCATTAGAGCTGAAGGATGTAGGCCTAACAAGTTTGCAGCGATACACTACAGTTGAAGCCGATAGGCTTCTTGAAGCTGATCCAGAGTTAACGTGGCCTTCGATCCCTGATGATGTGCTTGCAGAGATGCATTCTCGCGTTAACGGCCGACTTGCCAAGGAAGGCATCCCGGAAGTGCGTTACGACGTATTCAGCTGGCGTATGGCGCGAGCCATCCAATACCGCACGGCTCGTAAGGAGACTGGAAACGTATAGAGATAAGCTGTGTCTGACTGATGCAGCTAAGGACAAGGATGGGCCGAAGGCGAACCAACCAGCCACGTCCTAAGTGCTCTTGCGCACCGCGGGTACTTACTGTGTCATGTTTGACAATCCGATGCCCCTTGCACACAATCTACTCTCATGTGTCTCATCAGAAAGCGGGGGCGATGTTCACTCGGATCAACCCGGCACTGAGCCAGCGCACTGGCTTCACCGTGCATCAGAGTACGACCAATAAGCTTTTAGTAGCCAAAGCCTTGATTAAGTGAGCGGGAGCGTACATGGAGTGAGATCTTAGCAGTCGCTCTTAGATAATTGCGCTATAGGCTCGTGAGAATTCAGCCTTGTTCACTTACCTTTCCTCGCAGCTATGTGCGATTCAGACCCTCTCTTGCGTCAGACCTTCCTCCGTGCCTGCTTTAGCTTTCTTGACCACTTTCCAATACGCAATGTCGCCCCTCCGCTCGGAAAGGGGAACTGGTCCCACAGTTGGGTAACAGTAGATTGCGTGACAGGCATCATGGCGCAGAAGATCAAACCAAAATCATGGGATAGTGTCTTCGAACACGAAGCTAAGAAAGTCCTTCTTCGCATAATAGACGCGTTCGAGCTGCTTTGCGCAAGTTCTAGGTTCCAAAACAACCGAATTCTGTGCTGACGTAGTACAGGAACTTCTTGTAACTCCGATCAGCGAGGAATCTTTTAAAATGAAGATTCAGTCTTATGGAGACAGCCGCTGGAGAATCAACCTAGTTCCACAGCACTTTCCGGACATCAAATGTCTTTTAGATCAGGGTTATGGATTAGTGGACTTTCGTCCCTATTTCCAAGATATTCTGTCTGTAGCAAGAAACACATACAACCCGGATCAGAGGGTCGATAAGTAAGTTGCATAATTCCAATACATGGAACGTCTGACAGTTACAGGGTCATGAATCTCTGGATCCAGGGGAAGGGCAAAGTCATAGAGTGGACGTCTTACTCTTACCAATTAGTGGGCACGAAGCAAGCTCTGCAAGTCGAACAAGACACTTCACAGGCACTAAGGCAACAGTTATATGCCGAACAGAAGACTTCACAGGCACTAAGGCAACAGTTAGATGCCGAACGGAAGACTTCACTCCAACTTCGACTGCTATATACCGAGATGCACGAATTTCCCCCTGATACGACTGCTTCTCAGTATACGATGTACCCGCCAGAAAACCTGATTGCGCACAATCCGGTTTTATTGTAGTTCCCGCCGTTCTAGCTATCCGCGAATGTCCCTTGCATTCATATTCGAGTACGGTAGATTCTCACAGGCAGACACGAAGATCATGACGAGGGATGTATGTGCATTTGATATTTTGGTAAAGATAGCAGTGGGTGACGTAGCAGGCTTGTAATTATTGGAGGATATGCAGATAAACTACATATTGTCTGGATTTTGATAACAATACTTTGGCTTCCTGCAAAGAATACCAACCCCACTTGCATCCCACAAGCCTGCCGTATCCTTGATGCATTCCGATACCCAACATGCACTATTATGCACACCGATAAGTCTGCAGAACAAGTCTGCATGGATGCTGCAAGGTTTATAGGAGCAGAATACGCCTCTTACGCTGCAATGCACGTCAACAGTTTAACGGGCCCCTCACCGATACTTAAGATCGAGCGAATAGATCGATACACTACCATAATGCAGACCATGAACAACACAGAGTTTCCCCCTCATTTTTCGCACTTCAAACCCCCCGTCTACGCTGCGCAGCAGCATGATCATGCCCCGTCTCGACCGGAATTGTGGCCACTACAGCTGTCAAGATACTGCAAGTACAGGGATGGCAACTTCGTTATTATACTGTTTATACCCGACAGCGCCAGCTCTGTCCCAGCTCTTCAAGGTGTTAAAGCCAAAACCTGGGTGCGCGAGGACATGTTCGAAACATGGGAGCTATGTCCAGAGTCGCTAGAAGGACTCGTCGATCTCGCACAACAGCGTGAGAGCTCTGGATCTGAATCCTGTAAGCGGAAGAGTAATTCTCATTCGAGATACAGGTCTGACATATCGTAGCGCTCAGAGAAAAACAGACCGCGTGGCTTGCTAGTTTCCCCGAAAACAGCATGGGAAACTGGCGGAAGCACATGTCCGAATGCGTCTCGATAGAGGATTTCGTTGAAGTTTTCAGATCTGCTCAAGACGACGTAGCTCGTGGGCTTTGACATGTGGGAATGTGCACGCTTGTTACTATATATGAGACTAAGGAAGTGCGACTCCATGAGTCGTGTTGAAATGGTCTCTCAATCCATTCTTGCTGAAGTCCTGTTCTGTACAGGAGTGATGAGGACACTCCCTACAGCCTTTGTCGTACTGTCTGTTAATGTGATCATCTATGTGCTCAGCATAGTGACCGGCGTTTTCCATCTGTACAAAACGACCCTGTATCATGCAGTATGGACACCGACGAGGTGCCGCTACAATGCCTTCCGCAGTAACACATCCATAGATGATGTCGGGATTTGTAAAGTGCTGTACTACATGTCTGTGCCAATCTATCTCACTAGAAAGCCAGAGTCCACATTGGATGCAGAATTTGGCGCGTGTTGGTATCGTCGTTTGCGTAAAGACGCTATGTTCGGCAAGAAGATGTGCGTGAAGGTCCTCCAAGCTGCTTGCATTATGATTGCAGGAACCCCATTGGCAGCCAAGCGCATCAGCGGTGACGTGATTACTCATATGGCTTGCTGCCACTTCCGCAGTGTTGAGGACTTCGGGACTGCTGCAAGAAGCCCACAAACATCGCCATTGTGTTTCCTGCAGGAACTGGGTTAGTTCTTCTTCCATGGTGCGGTTTTTGTTTCTTTGTGAACACTTTAGCAAATGTGCTTTCATCGGAATTCTGGACAAGATCAGTTTCGTTGAAAATGAACCTGGCACAGCGCTTACCGTTTTAGCTGCGTATCACACCACGGGCAGCCTCCTGATGCGTTAGGCAGTGCATCTGCATAATACGGCTCATATGCGACGGGCTCGGCGGCTTTGATGAAAGGGTACAGTATGTCGGGAATCGCGTGGTATACGGCGTATGAGCCGTATAGATAAGATATTATCGCTGATCGAGTGATATCGTATTTGAGTTGAATCTCTAAGATATGCGGCAGGGGATAGGGCGATTTGAGGCTCGCGGGTGTGTGAAAAGTGTTGGGCTCTTGGGTCATGACTACTCCGGGGACGAACAATGCTGATAAGCGTTTTGCTTGACCACGCCCGACCACGACCGTCTCAGCATCAAGGCAATCGGCTGCCCTCTTCCGCCGCTTTTCTCGCTGAGTTGCATTCCTGATGTCCCGAAGTATAGTCGCAAAGGTCCCTCCATGATCAGCTCGTTCTAACTGGGCTTGTATCATGGTGTAAAGCATTAATGGCTTTATACCACAGGATGAGATTACTCTGGTTCTATTACCAGTTCTTCGAAGTACTGGTAGACGCGATGCGTCCTGTTTGTAACAAAGAAGTAGCCATCCAGACTGTCGACCAGCACACAATGAATCTATATCACTGATTTGATGCACACCGTCGATGACACCATCTGCCAAAGCCATGGAAAGAAAAAGAGTGACGGGACACATGTGGCGTTTCGTAGGCTCATCGATCAGGACCATCGTTCTTCTTTGTGAAGTGTTAGCTTTACTAGAAGCACAAAAGACTATTATATAATTACCCGCTCCACTTTCGAGATGACCGCGTATCCTCATCTTGGTTATCCAGACGGATGACAAGCATGGCTCGAGTATTATCTTCATGACGGGTAAGGAAGATCTTCGTATCTTTGTAATAGAGTCCATCTTTGAGGGCAGCATTAGGATGTAGTCCCAAATGGAAGATTAACAGAATACTGAAAGCGACTTGCAGGCGATAACGTGGATGATCGAAACTATAAGTATCGCGAGCCCAGATGAATGAGAACAAATTATGTAAGTCATCCTCGAGCAGTTGCGCCTTCAATGGCTGAAATTCGTAGGCACAGGAGAGGTCTGGGAAGTCAGACTTAGGGGCAAGATCTAGAGTAGTACACATTGTATCCATATTTGATGTATGTTTCCTCTTCTCTCTCTGTTCACATATGTAGTTATGCATTGCGTCGCAGTCGTGCGGCGTTGCTGCACCTTTACAGAATTGGAGTTCGGGAAACAGACTTCCTATCTGCACTGCCGCAAGTACTACAAACAGGTAACCTACTCCTGTAATTCTAGGGTGTGTTCACTAGTTCTTGTTGCCACCTCCACAGGGAGGCGGATCAAACCAGCATGAAGAGTGACAATAATACCAGAGACATGTATCGATAGAGCCAAGCTTACGCGTGACTCGCGATAAACAGAGGGAAGTGAGTATTACTCATCCAGACTTCCAACAATCTTGCACCAGCTGTACGTTTTGCACACAGAGGGTCGGCTCAGCTACGTATGCGCCTCCTTGATCTTGATCTTAATCCTCATCTTGCTCTTGCAGGAATTGTCTCAACTCTATGTTCGGGCCCAGAAATCCTAAGCGCCAGAGCGCTGCTTTAACAGTAGCGCTTACGCCCTGAGGCACGGAGCAAGCCACCAATACTAGAATGTGTGTTAATAGTCTGTATACAGAAAAGAGGCTTACCAGAAACAGAAAAGGGGGATACCGGATACAGAAAAATTAATGGACTTTGTGACAGTTGCATGAGTGAAAGCTAGGCTTCCCGTCCGCTCAGCCATATACAAGCAGTGTACCGGCGGATTAGTAGTTAGGTGGGTGACCACTAGCGAATCCCCGCTGTTGTATGTTTTTGCGCCTTTTTGTTCCTCGTAAGGAAAGGACGGAGAGAGTGCTGGATCGTGGCGGTTTGTTACACAAGGGGAGCACTGGCGTAATAGAAGATGAGGCGGGCAACTGCTTCACTTTTTGTATATTGGCGGACGTTTTGGGAACTGAGGATCTATCATTTTCGTGTATCGTGAAAACCGAAGGTGAATCCGCCTGTAACGCCAACTCCAATGCAAATGAAATCCTATCTTTCATCGAGTATCCACTTCAACCGACCCATCGCCTGGCACTCTTGAACATGCGCGACCACGGGCCGAGCTCACCCCATCCTTCGGTATCCCGTGGGATGTAGCTACCCACCTCCTTCAAGATGGTTCGCTCGGGGTGCGGCATGAGCGCCAACACCCTTCCATCGGTACTCCTCACACCGGTGATACCCATTGGACTGCCGTTGGGGTTGTATGGGTATGTCTCGGTCTGCTTTCCGTAGTTGTCGACATAGCGGAGGGAGACGAGGTTCTCGTTGTACAGGGTTTGTGGGCTGGAGACAGAAGAAGCCGAGTTAGAGAAGTGAGCGCGTCCCTCGCCGTGTGCGGTGACAATGGGAAGTTTGGAACCGGCCATGCCGTGCAAGAAGACGGATGGTGGTGTGTTGGGTCCTTTGGGATCGAGAACTTCAACCATACAGACACGCGCCTCGTATTGCTCGGATGCGTTGCGCTCGAAGCTTGGCCATAACTCCGCACCAGGAATGAGTTCCTTAAGCTTGCTCATGAACTGGCAGCCGTTGCAGACACCAAGAGCAAAGGTGTCTGGGCGGTTGAAGAAGGTTTGGAACTCTTTGCGTGTGTTGGGATGCAAGAGGACGGACTTTGCCCAACCTTGACCTGCGCCGAGTACATCACCGTAGGAGAAACCACCGCAGGCTGCAAGACCCACAAATCCAGCGAGTGAGACTCGTGAAGAGATGATGTCAGTCATGTGTACATCAATGGCAGTGAATCCAGCTTGATGGAAAGCGAATGCCATCTCTGCTTGACCATTCACACCTTCTTCGCGAAGAATGGCCACACGCGGCTTGGCAGTGAAAGGTGATTTGAGGTTAGACATGAAGGGTAGGATATTTTCAGCGGGTTTGAAGGTGAGGTTGTACGAGAGACCAGGGTCCTTGTCGTCGAGGATGCTCTTGAATTCGGTGTCGGCGCAAACAGGGTTGTCACGAAGCTTCTGCATCCGGTACGAGGTCTCCGCCCAGCGTTGCTGAAGCTTCTGGCGGCTGTTGCGGTAAACGCATTGAGTGCCGACATAAAAGGAGACATCTTGTTTGGGCGCTTCTGCGACACGACCGATCTTCTTGATCATACCTGGAGGTGGTCCGCAAGTTGCAAAGCAGCGGTTAAAGGCAACTTCATCCTTCTTTCTGACCTGGAAGACAGCTCCGAGCTCTTCGTTGAACAGTGTTTCCAGTACGTCCTTGGGCTCGCTCGACGAGGCAACGCCATCGAGCATGATCTCAACACCGCATCGTCCGGCAAAGGCCATTTCAGCGAGGGTTGTGAAGAGACCACCGTCAGACCTGTCGTGGTAGGCGAGGACGATTCCAGAGTCATGGAGTTGTTCGATAGCGTCAAAGTAGTCCTTGATGATATCGGCGTCGTAGACATCAGGCGCTTCGTCGCCAACCTGCCCGAATGTCTGCGCCAAGGCAGAGCCGCCCATGTGCTTCTTGCCCGCTGCTAGGTCGACAAACATAAGAATCGTCTCACCAACGTCTTCGACTCTCTCTAGGGCGGGCGTCCAGGTTCGGTCAATGCGGTTGACAGGTGCAAACGCCGTAATGACGAGCGACATGGGTGCAGTAACTTCCTTGGCTTCCCCGTTGTCCGACCACTTCATCTTCATGCTCATTGAGTCCTTGCCGACGGGGATAGATATACCAAGTTTAGGGCAAAGATCCATGCCGATGGCCTCAACAGCCTCGTACAGAGCTGCACCCTCTCCAGGATGACTGCTTGCGGACATCCAGTTGGCCGAGAGTCGGACTCTGGCAAGCCTATCGAAGAGACTCGCTGCAGCGATGTTCATCAGAGATTCCGCCACAGCCATCCTGGCGGACGCTGCTGGGGAGATGAGCGCCAGTGTAGGCTTCTCACCCATAGTCATAGCCTCGCCAGTCTTGACACCGGCCAGCAGCGATGTAGCTGTTACCGATACATCAGCCACCGGGGTTTGCCACTTGCCAACCATCTGATCGCGAGCGGTAAGGCCGCCCACAGTTCGGTCTCCAATAGTGATAAGGAAAGACTTGGATCCTACAGCTGGGAGAGTGAGAACTCGGTCTACGGCCTCAGCGACCAAGCCATCCTTAGGCGTGTCAGGGATGTACATTGACAAGCTGCTGTCAAAAGCAGGAAGCCTCAGCTTGCGGCTCTCAACAATGCGCGACATCTTTGGTGGCTTTCCAAACAGTGTAGCCATTGGAAGGTCGATAGGTGTAGGGTTCTCCTTGGAGTCCCTGTCGTTCAATACCAGACGCTGCTCTTTGGTCGCTTTGCCAACGACGGAGTAACCGCATCGCTCTCGATGGCAGATGCGCTTGAACAGGTCGAGCTGATCAGGACTGACTGCAAGTACATACCGCTCTTGAGCCTCACAGCACCAGATCTGCAGTGGGCTCATGCTCTTGTCGACGTTGTCAATCTCGCGTAGCTCGAAGATGGCACCGAGACCAGAGTCGTGGACGAGCTCGGGAAGCGCGTTTGACAGACCACCCGCTCCGACATCGTGAATGAAGAGGATGGGGTTCTTGTCGCCCATTGAGCGGCATGCGTCGATGACTTCTTGCGCACGTCTTTGTACCTCGGGGTTGCCTCGCTGCACACTGGCAAAGTCGAGGTCGACCTTGCCCTCGCCGGATTGGATACTGGATGCAGCACCGCCACCAAGACCGATAAGCATGGCGGGTCCACCGATGACGAGGAGATGCGAGCCGGCTGGCACAACGTCCGGGTCCTTGAGCGCGTGCTGCGGCCTGACCGTTCCGACACCACCTGCTAGCATAATAGGCTTGTGGTATCCTCGTAGCTCTGACTCCTTCTCGTTTGTGAAGACGCGCATAAGCATGGTGCGGAAGTAGCCCGTGGTGCATGGGCGACCAAACTCGTTGTTGAACTGGGCGCTGCCGATGGGTGCCTCGAGCATGATGTCCTGGGCACTGGCGATGTGCGAAGGCTTTCCGACATCTTTCAGCTCCCATGGGCGCTCAAAGCCCTCGATGTTCAGATCAGACACAGTGAAGCCTGCCAGTCCGGCCTTGGGCTTGGAACCTCTTCCGACAGCTCCCTCATCTCGAATCTCACCACCAGAGCCTGTAGCAGCTCCTGGGAATGGTGAAACAGCGGTTGGGTGGTTGTGTGTCTCGACCTTGCAGAGAATGTGTACCGTCTCTTTGGTGCCGTGCCACTCGCCTGTGAGATCGTTGGGCGCCCAGAAGCTGGCCTCCTCGCCGTTCAAGACGGCAGCGTTGTCGCTGTATGCGCTTACGACGTGGTTGGGGTGCTTTTGGTGGGTGTTGCGGATCATGCCAAACAGCGACATGGACTTGCGCATGCCGTCGACGGTGAACTCGGCATTGAACTGCTTGTGTCGGCAGTGCTCCGAGTTGACCTGGGCGAACATGAACAGTTCGACGTCGACCGGGCCTCTCTTCAGCTCCTGTGTGTAGGCCTCAACGAGATAGTCAATCTCGGACTTGTCCATAGCCAGGCCCAGCTCCCTGTTGGCGTGGTCCAGGGCGGCGTGGGCGCTGTTGTACTCGTCGAACTTGATGGTCGTCGCCTGGGCCGGCTCGCTCTCACCGAAGATGACATCGAGGTTCGGGGCGGTGCGGCTTATCGTCTGCGTCATGCGGTCGTAGAGGTGGTCGCGGTTGGGGATCTCGTCGGCCTCGAGGGTGCGGTCGAAGGTGGCGGCGATGACCATGCCGCGCTCGACGCGCTTGACTGCATTCTCAAGGGTGCATGTGCGCGCAATCATGGAGGCGAGGGAGCTCCATGGCGATATGGTGCCAGCCCGTGGGCAGACGTAGAAGAGGACCGTGTTGGCGTCGCGAGGTTCGCCGCCGCGGTGGACGGCGTCGAGGAGGGCCTGGGAAAGGCGGTCGTCGCTGCTGGGGTACTCGCCATAGTGGAGAAGCTGCTGCAGCGTCTTCAACTCGTCGTCGCTGAGTTGCTTGAGGGGGTTGACAAAGTGCACCCAGAGCGAGCGCACTTCCTTCGCGCCAATGGCCTGGGCTAGGCGCTGGAGACGGAAGTCGGAGTAGGCCGACGAGCCCGGGAGGATGAGATATGGGTCCTCGTTTGACGCCATCTTGTGTGACGCCTAATCGGTTTGTTCGAGTCGATATCGCGGGTGTCCGAAGACAAGAGCGATCACGGCCGTCTTCACATGGATGGCGGGGGAGGGGAAACTTTCACAAAAAAAATCGGCGCGCGTCACTGCCGCCGCATCCTTGTCCTCTCCGATGTACACTCCATACAGCACAACTTCTCGCTTTAGTGTACATTAGACACAACGCGATTGCGCAAATCTCCTGCACGTCTCCGGCTATGGTGCGAGTTTCTAGTATTTCATCTTTTCTTCTGCGCTCTTAGAAGGTGCCGCCGAAATCTACCACGATTGAGCGCGACCGCACATATCTCTCTCCTGGCCCGACATCGCAATGATATGCAACCCGGTTAAGAAGACCATACCTTGACGGAAGCCCGACGGGAAATGCTGTATACAATTCCGAAATACATTAGTCGTTGTGCTGATTCGATGTTGTCGGCTATAATCGGCACCCGTTTGACCAGCGTTCATACGCGCATACAATTATGGGACATGATAAGCGTGTCAGTGTATCAACTACCCAAACACCAAGCACTAAATACAATCGTGAGGTAGACAAGACAGCAGCGTTACTTGTTCCTTCAATTCTCATACATCTTATTGTCTCATAACTAAACTGCATCGTATACAATGCCTAAGCACATCGCCATCGCCGGTGCTGGTATTACAGGCCTCGCATGTGCCTACCTGCTCTTGGAAGCTGGCAACAAAGTCACCATTGTAGCGCGGAACTCACATGGCGACAAGTCCATTGAATGGGCTAGTCCATGGTCAGTCAGCTATGGCTTCGACTCTACCATGACATGTCACTAACCTGGTCGACGTTTGCAGGGCAGGTGCCCTCCTAGCACCACATGCCAATACTGGTTTCAATGATCTCCAACTGGCATCAATCAACTTCTACAGCCATCTTCTAGATACCTTCCCGGAAAGTGGAGTAAAGGTTAGCTACCTCTAAACCCAGTTAAACAGTTACTGAATCTAGAGTAAGAGGATTCGCATAACTGAATACTACGATGATAGACCCCGAACGGCACCTGTGTGGTACAGGCCTTATATGCAAAACTTCCAGATGCTGCAAGAATCTCAACTTCCGCCTGGCGTTACACTAGGCTACTCTTACAATGGACTCGTCGTCAACCCGAATGACATCCTCCCCTGGCTAACAATACAACTCCGGAATCGAGGAGTCAAGTTCATCCAAAAAGCTGTATCATCTATGCAGGATCTACAAGACCTGACCGCAGCAGATATATTAGTAAACGCCAGCGGTATAGGCGCACGGGATCTTGCAACTGACCCCACCGTCTACGGTGTCCGCGGTCAAACCATGTTTGTCGACTGCGCAACCTCTGGAAGATCTTCTTTGCTGGACCAAGCCATCTTACATCAAGGCTCTCATTACACGTATTGCATTCCTCGCTCGTCGGATGGCGGCATAATCTTGGGTGGCGTCAGTCAACCGTCCAACACTCAGACTCAGCCAGACAGGAGTTTGCGACCGGACATTCTTGAACGCGTCAACACGATGACTAACGGGACGTTCGACTGGGTTGATCTAAACAAGCATGGTGAGGATATCGTGGGGTTCCGACCTGCGAGAGAAGGTGGCCTGAGGTTGGAGAGAGAGGATCACGTAGTGCACGCGTATGGCGTTGGTGGATTGGGGTATCTGTATGCTTTTGGGGTCGCGGAAAGGGTGAAAGACCTTGTCGAGGAAAGCGTGAAGGCGAGGTTGTGAGCGGAATATATGGCAAACATAGATGAAGTCTCGAACACGTCGAACGGACAGTACCACCGTCTATTTTCAAGCATAATGACTCCATCATTACCGTACTAGTCGATAACCCCATCACCCCAGGTCGTCTCAAAAGCTGTCCAGATGGACACCTAGACCCTTCTCCGTGGCTAAATTCATCAAGGCCTTCCCGATCGCGATATCCATGATACCCACTCCAACGCTCTTATATACCACAAATCCTTCCTCAAGCCACTTCTGTACACCTTCATCCTTTCTCAATCCGTCTATCTTCCCCACCTCGAGCATCTGTTCTGATTTCAATCCAGCGGCCACCAACTCTCCAGCCTCATCCATGCATCCCTTGATACTATCGACTGTAATATACCCTTGGTGCACTTGAGACGCAAAAGGGCCCGAAGGGTTGGTGATATGCTTAAGCAGTTCGGGGTCGATCTCCTGCATGTCCAGACGATAAGAGCCAATTGCAGAGATGAATCGGGATTTACTAAGACCAGAGTCGGACAAAAGGTATGAGGCAGGGAACAAGGGAGATGTGCTGGGTGTCGTGCAAAACATGACGTCTGCTTCGGTGATCAAGTCTTCCAAACCATTCTCCTTCTCTTCAAAAACTTCCATCTTGATATGGGACCCCACTTTCGACTGTGTGAGTGACTCTACTAGGTCCTTAGCTCTTGCACTGGATCGGTTTACAATCGTGATCTTTCGGATGTCGTCCCCTTTGAGAAGGATAGCAAGGCGTATGTGCCACCCCGCCTGCTTCCCCGCTCCAAACACAATGATGTTTTCTGTCTTTTTCCGGTACCGATACAACAACATACTGCCCAGCGACGTCCTAAATGCCGTCAACTCAGCTGCATTTAACACGCCTACAGCCTGACCCAACTCATCGCAAATGGTAAGGACACTCCGCAATGCAGGCTTGGGCTTCTCTCCAGGCGGAGGTGTTTGAGATGGTGCAACACCGCCTATCTTTACGCCGATAGATGATGGTGTCGTTGCGGGCATGAAGAGGCTGGCTTGACCATTTGGTCGAGTGACATTGGCGCGGTGTGGTTGGTAAGGGAGTTCATCGTTGCAAGAATATTGGATGAGAGCTTGGTTGAGAGCAGACGCCAATTCTTGGACGTCAGATGGAGAGATGTTATGAAGGAGAGTCTGAACGTCAGCGTCGGAGAGGATGGTGAAAGTCATGGTGCTTGACGGAAGGGCCGAATCTAGCGAGACGGTTGGTTTGATATCGTCCGGTTGGTCACTTCCTTTGCACTTGATAACCTTTGGACTCTTTTAGTGATAGAGATCTGACTCCTAGTTGTCTTCCGTTGTTAACCCGATGTCGATGTGTTTCCCTGTTGCCTGGTATCCGTTTCCCCGCTATACGCGGAGATACCTGCCTGCGGGTATTGTCGGCCCACTGGCCCCACCATACTCAGGTACCTCGGACAGTGGGCAGCAAATGGACAGTTCGGCATCACATCGTACGAGTGAGGTCCAACATCAAGATGCGCAGATACCTAGCCTTTGTTAGCACAACTTGCGCGAGTTTTGTATCTTATATCTTACTCAGACTCACTCTTGTTGCTATAGCTACTCGTTGTCAGGCTAACAATTGGTAGTATTTCACCTATCCAACCGCCTGTTTGGCAACAGCACTTCCTTGACTCATGGCTACCATTGTGGCCATGTGCGATGTGACTGGGTTATAGGGGAAGTTGGTTCTTCCTGGTCAGAACGAGGGTTGATGTCGCCCAATCTACGAAACACATCCCCACAACTCTTTCGTCGGATATATCCCAAGCGTGGGGTACCAACTGGTTCTGAAACTGATTTCTGAAGTATCAAGCCCCCATCTACACTGTCCGGCGCTTCTGGTGAGTGAGTGACTAGCATATCATCTTTGATCATGTCAAGAAAGTTGCTATAGTCTCCTGTGCAGCGATGATGTTCTCGCAGCTCTTCAATCACCTGTGATAGGTTAGTGGTGGTGAGGTGTGGACAGCTAAATTCAAGGTCGTTCCGCAATATGCCCAAAGAGTGATTCGGGCATAAATAGTAATAACACGTGAATATGGAGATCTCAGGCTTACCTTGAGGACCGCTGGCTTCACTTCGGCTGTTTTCTCACCTTCTCTCTCGACTATCGTGAAGAAAGTGTCTGTTCGCATGTTCGCCATACGAGGATCAGGTGCCAACCGCTGCTCGCCGAACCTTTGGACTAGTCTGTAACCACCAAAATACCAAGCGACAAATTCCAAGTATACACATCCGAGGGCCCAAACATCGCAAGCAGTAGTAAGCTTGCCATCAAGATCACTCTCTGGTGACCGATAGGTAGGCGAGTTCGGCAATTTACCAGTCTTCTGGGTATCCCACATGTTCTCTGTATTGAACCGAGTCACTCCAAAGTCGGTAATTTTCAGGACGCCATGACCACCCGTAGTCTGGGAATCTGGATACCAGAGGATATTCTGTGGTTTCAGATCACCATGACGGCCAAACAGATTTCTGGTCGAACGATCGGCATTTGCACTACCAGCGTAGGTGGCATGGTGTCTATCTGTCTCAGTCCTGCTGGAAAGTTTGAAAGCGTCAAGGATAGACGTCCCGGAGAATGTCGCATAACGATGGACGCTGTTGAGTCCATCTGCAAGCCCTCGACATTGCTCTATTACCCATGCACCTGTCTGGTCATGTTCTGGGGGCGCCTCTTGACGTCGCTTCCAATAATCGAAAAGATCGGCATCGGCCCATGGGAAAATAAGATGGTATGCTGCGCCTTGTTTATAGGTGGCTAGTAAAGTGATGAGGTGAGCATGAGCATGCTTGCTGGTACTGAGTCTTCTCAGAACAGTAACCTCTTGGCGAAAGGCTCTGTCATCTTTTGACTTCAATGTCTTGACTGCATAAATGTTGAGGCCACCCTAGTTTGCGAGATCTGTTAGTTATTTTGCATCATAGTCAGGTGTAGTCAAAACTTACCTTCGGTTGACATAAGTTATGATGGTCAGGATGAATCTTGGCTTTAAATACCTTGCTAGAGCCCCCCTCTTTCGCGATAGTTGTTTCCGGGAGGAATGGTAAGATCGATTCACACTCGAAGTCGTCATGTGGGACAATTCCATCGGATCCGGAAAAAACAGGCGCAAGTACTGACCACTGTCGGTCCAGAAACTCATCGGCATCTTCTGGTCTTGTAAACTTTATGTTGGCAGAACCAGGTGTGTTTCGACTAGTTAATGTAGCTGACCGATCAAACCTGCCCAGGTGCTGAGCCTTTTTGAAGGGAAGTTGGTCATCGCAAAGCCCGGCCTTGACAAACAGTCGGATCTTAGAAGGTCGTTTCATGAGATATAGTATTGCAAGTATCTTCCTGTATGACTCGTAATTCTTGGAAACGACCGGAGCTTTCAACATTCTGGACGGCTTGCCAATGGACTTGTTTGACTTGGAGAGTTCAGCTTGGATAACTTCATCTCGCACGATATCTCGGATTTGCGACTCTGGTATAAACTTCTGTTGGCGATAAGAGGTTTGCGAAGCTTGCTGAAGCTTCCTGGTCATTGGGTGAGGATCTTGGAGTCGTAATCTTCCCAACCATCTTTGAGCCAACACGACTGCTGTAAAGGTGCCAGAATCGGGCTGCGCATGCCGTTGCTTGACGAATGAGTCTTTTGTTTGCTCTATCTTCTCTGCTGTTCCCCTGGCAATGTTGAAATCTCTGACTTCCTTGGTGTAGCCATCAGCGACAGACTGAGCAGTCTTTAGACTGCTTGAACTCGAGCGTAAGCTAGCGGCACCAGATGGACGATGTACCAAGTCTCCTAATCGCCTCGTTAGAGTGCTGAACTTAGCATATGCGTATGTATCCGCACCTTGACTAAACAAAGGCGCACTTAATGGGCGGGCCTTTGGCTGTGGGTCTATATGACTGCGTCAGCCATTGAGCCTGAAACTTGTTGCACTAACAACGCACCTCGAGTAGCGGTTCCGGTGGGGTTGTCTACCCGGTGAGCTCGCTCTTTATTGCCTGTGGACGCGCTTGCTGACGCACGTCTGCTGCGTGGCACTGGATTCAGCAATTTTTCCTGGAGTTTCTGGCCTAACGGGTACATTAGAGCGGTGTTCAGAATTTGTGGCCGAGCATGACGACCAACGAATCCTAAGGCAAGGAAAACACTGGAGCAACAAACATGTCAACAAATCGAGTTGATCTCCTAACCTTAAAGCTTCCCCAGGCATAGCATTCCTCGAAGAAGCGATTGGGTGTGGGGTCCAAGATTGCGGGATTGCGATACCCCTGCAGGTGGCACAGGCTCAAATTTGCATGACCACAATATGACCATTCTTCACCATGCCGCTAATTCATACACTGAGCGAACTAACCCCCAGTTTTACCTATGCCCCGATATACCGGTCTGATCCCTCTACTGGCAAGGTCATAGCGCGCGGTCTTAGATGTTCTCAGTCACTACGAGTGAGGCAGTCGGATTCTGAGGCCGCCAGAGTACGAGATATAAGCCATCCGCTTCAACCTGTCAGCTGCCGCCACACTTGGGGCTATGTTAGGTAAAATGCCCATACCTCGTGTTGCCCGGTTCACAAGACTGGTGAAGCTGAAAGAGGCAGACGGGTGACATCTACGCCTTCAACATGCCTCAGCCGCTAACGGAGTTGGTGTACTGGGTACAAGTGTGATTGGTGCTTGACGTACGCCGGATTTGAGTAACAACGCCATGTCAACAAAGAGCTCAGCCTACCGGGCAACAGAGCGCCGAGTATAACAGCGCGTTCAGGGCAACTCTTGCAATCCGACGACATGTATCTTCATCTTTAGGCTTCCGTTCAAACGATGACTGCTCTTAAGAAGCTCTTGCCTTTCGCTAATTCCCCAACGAAAAAACGAACATTTTCGGACCCAGAGCAACCGGCGCATCCCAGCGGAAGCAGCGTTCAACCAATTGACGTCATGGACATAGACCCAGGAAAGTTGATGGACAAGCTAAGACTGAAGTTTGGATCGGAGTTCGAGATTCATGTGGGTAGATTCCCACAGAACAGCGAAGTTGGAGTTTACTAATCCTAGACACCAGATGATGCATAATGTGTACTGTATCAAAGCGCCTGGGCTGCTTACCGCGGTAAGTTCGATGATCTTAGTTCACGCCCACAGCCGCCGTGTCTAACGTTGCATAGGATGATATCGAGGAGTGCCGATAACAGAAACCAACTATAAATACTTAGAGCTCGCGGATATTGTACAGATGTACAAAGCATGGCGAATGTTGCAGTCGTTCGATTTCTCATGTGATCGAATCGTATCCGGGTGTGCTGTGATGATCTTGGGAAGGTGGGAAGGAGGAGCAGCGGGTCGCAGCCCTGGAGATGTCAGGGGGCAGCGCTAAGTACGGAGGCCAAGTGGGGCAGTGCCTGGGCTGCGAGGTGCGAGGCTATCTCACCCGAACGTCTTCACTTGACAATGATCTTGTGTTGATGGTACCTAAGATACACGGCTGTGTATACTGCTGTATCTGTTAGCCCTGCTCTAGCGCAACATCAAGCACGATTGCGAAATGTCACGCGATCTCATGACATATTACTTGCTACCAGACTGGGGCCAAAAACGCCACCCCCCACGTTTCGCGCCCCAGCGTTGCTATCTGCTGCAACGCTGCAGGCTCGATTGGAATTACTGGAAGCGACTGCAGGTTGTTCGCAATATCGGCGTACCCCTAAGATGATGTTGAAACATTATGCGCTTTGCTGCGCCGCTTCACGATGCATCGGCTGTGTTTCCTGTTGAATCGTTCAGTTGAATGAAGGGAGTTTGCCTCGTTGCCTACTTGGACGTCGTTGAAGGACCCATTTGCATGTTGTCACATCAAATACAGACCCCCTCCTCGGCTACGCATTGGAAGCCGACCGAGCAGCTTTCGCGTGTCTCGTCTCTGTCTACCAGGCCTCAGTTCAGCCGCAGACTCAGATCATCAGCTGGAAACCCTGAACCCATATCAACTTCTGCGCACTTCACCCTTATCAACAGATATTACAGGATTCAATTTTTCCTACGCCAACTCGTCATTATATCCGTTTCCCGATCATGGCCGATAGCGATTCTTCAGACGAAGAAGAAACAAAGGAGCAATGTTTCAGGAAATCGCTGTCCTTTGCACAAAAGAAAAGCACATTCGAAAGAA